TAAAGGATAAATAGACTAGATAAAAGAAGACATTATTTTAGAATAAGGTTGAAACACGGGGCAGATTTCAATGCATACACAATATTGGGAGTCTTCTTTAAAAGCAAGAACATAGAATTTTCACTATAAAATTAGCAACAAGAGTAAATATTCATTTAAGAATGAGAAAAAACTCAACATTTAAAAATCTGACATATATTACAAATATTCACAAAGAAGAAAAGTAGTATTTTATATTTGTTAATTACCTACCTGCTATACCACATTTCTTCATCATTTTAGCTATATATTTTTGATTATGTTTTTATATTATAATTATTTTTAACATTTTCTAAAGAGAGGGGAAGAGAAATTGATAATTCAATATTTTCCTTTGCCTGGCAGTAAAATTTGATTTTTAAACATGGTTGGCTTTTGAGAAAACTTTCAACTTTACAACTCATTATTGTTATGCTATGTAAATATTTAAAACTTGTCAAATTTGGGGAAGCCTCTATTCATTTTCTTCTACACATGAATTGTGAGATTTCAGGGAATTTCAGACTTTCTTTTTAAGTGACTTCACTACTGGCAAAATTAATATATTCAGTAAGCAATTTATCAATAATATTATTTTTTGCAAAGGACTAGTAACTGTCACCTTTGTTGACATAGGCATTTGATATTAAATCAGCAAGAAACTTAAGCATTTTCCCAATATGTTCACATCATATACTTTTCATTAATTGTATTAAAAAATAAGAATGTATTCATTTCTTGTATTCAAAATTTATTTGTTCTGTCATTTCGTTTGCCATCATCTAAAAGCTTTTGTTGCAATTTGCTTTTCAATGTCAGAATCATTTGTGGATTTCATTCCTGTTTTGCTTTTGTTTTATATTTCATTTTAACTTATAATTTACCAATTATTTAGAAAATAATTGAAAAGTGATGAAATAATACTTTCCATATATACCTAAATTTGCAATCTGTAATTCCTAATTTATGAAACAATTTTTTAAAAATGTTTTTCCAAATGACAATAAAAATTGTGCATTTGAACTTTTTCAAACATGAAAAAAAAAAAAATCACCTGTGAGGCTTTCTTCAACTAAATTAGAAGGAGGGCGATTTCGTTTTCTTTTTTTCCTCATTGAGTTTATTGGTGCATTTTAGGTATACAGTATAGTTACATTCATTGTTGCGATCTTGTACCTTTACATGACAGGTGGAGGGCAATTTCTCTACAATTCCACATTAAGTCAACAGGCTATTCCTAATATGCGTTCTATGCAAAATGTATGTAAACCACAGTATGTACACTTGTGACCACAGTATGAGTATATTCAACTCTGTGCATCCATCCATCTTCCAAACATCCAGTTATCTATCCATCCATTCTGTTATCCTTCTTTCCATTTCTTATTCACTTATTAAGTGTTTATTTGGTGTCTACTCTATATCAGGCATTGTGCTATGCCCGAGTGGATATAGCTGGGATTGAAATAGACAAGGTCTGCCATCTCTGAGGTTACTGTCTACTGGGAAAGAAGAGCACAAATGCAGAGACACTGAGTGAGGCAATGACAATTGGAGCATAAGGTGTGAGGGTCCCTTCCTAATCCTTCGTTAATCCAGCAATGCACATGCGTATCATCTCAGGAGTGCTTCCTTTGCAATGAATGAACCCAGTTTGGTTGGTACTCATCACAACAAAATACTTGGATGGTGCTTACCAAGCTCTGTTGTTGATGATGATGATTTTCACAGGGCATGCTTTGAACACTCAGAAACAGCAATCTAGAGGCTAGAAGGCCCGATTCAGACTTAAAGGAGTGACAAGGGGAAATCTCCCCCTTGTCCCTCCTCTGCTGTCCCACCGCACTCACATAGCTTTGGAATAACGAGTCGTGGTCATTGTGACTGAGTGATGCTCTCAAGTGTTCAGAGTTTTTAAGTGCCACTCCCACATGGCCACTGCTGCATATGGATTTAATTCAACCATAATGGAAAGGAGAAGGTGCATTGCCTCTTACCTTTCTGAGGAAGACTGAGAAGCTGCCTGGCGTTTAGGATCCTGTTCATGGCAGGAATTCTCACTAAGGGATCTGTGTTGCGTTTTAATATTAACTGGGGATTTTATGTATCAAAATAACACTAGTGGGAAAGAGAGATAGGATCATCATAACAGGGTCCTCTTCCCAGCTGGCCAGATGAAGATGGGAATGAGAAGCTGTCCCTGTGAAGCCCTAATTCGAGGGACTGGCACATAACATGGGGCAAGAGACCATGTGCAGTTATTTTTAAAGTCACCTAGTTTCAGAGGGTTTGGGCAAGCAGGAGTCTCAAACCATGCCTGAGCTGGGGGTGGGCAGGAGGCCATGTTTCAGGGTCACAAGGCAGGTGAATAGAATCTTTGCTGTACACAGCCTTGTGGCAAGGGGGTGGGTGGGAGGTGGCTGTGGTCAGTGTCCAGAGGACCTGTGGATTGGGCCATGTGTACATGCAGGCGCGGCTGTGCTCAAAACTGTCAGGCAAGGCTGTGCTGGGCCAGAAAGGCAGTCTGTGGTAGACCAGGAACTCCACCTTCCCACACTGGGGCTGACTACCCAGGAGGCGGCATGTTGGTGAGGGGGGCCACAGAGGGCCAGGAGGGGAGCTTCCTGCATGCCAACGAGGTGGCCACAGGTCTTTGGGCTCACTGCCCCTCTATCATTTCCTCAGTGCAGTTCTGAGTCAGACCTTTGAGACATTTATCAGGCTGTGATCAAAAGCACAGTCACTGCTAAATCACACACAGTCCCCAGAGCCGGCCTGGCCCCTGGAGGGCTCCCAGCCACCCCCCACCCGGCGGCGGGGGCTTCCATCTTGATGCTGCTGTGGTCTTGGGTTACAATGCACAGAAAAAAGCCAAAGCCAGTGACACCAGAATGACCCTGAGATAGGCTGTTCCATGAGGTCGTCTGTGGTCCTAGAGGGCTGCTCCTTCAGCTGCTGCACCCTAAAGTAGGACGTTAGGATTAAGAGCCACTGGGGGAGCCTGGTGTGATGGTGTACCCCTACGATCCCAGCACTCGGGAGGCTGAGGCAGGAGGATTGCCATGGGTTGGAGATCAACCTGGGCTGCACAGTTCAAGTTCAGGCTGAACTACAAACACTGGAGAGAAGAAGATAGGCCAGCTAGGGACAGAGGGAGGAGGGAGGAGACACAGTCAACTACCTCCGCTGAGGTAGAAGTGGAGTCCGTGTCTAGGTTGCAACTAACCAGGAAGCTTGGCTTTTGGGGAACCTCAATTTTATACCCATGTAAAGGGAAAGAATAGGGTCTGATGGTTCTAAGACCGTCCCTGAGCTCAGAGCTTGTTTCCTTTGCTGACAGGTGGACTCAGTCCCTCTCAGGCTCTCTCCGGCCAGATTCTTTCTGGGCCACCCAAGGGGACAGCAGAGGAAAAAGCCTCTTCTTTGGGGACCAGCAAATGCCCATTTTGCTCAGTTTGGCAAAAACCCAGCATACAAACCACATTACTTTAATTAGTTTTTAAGAGCAATTTGGCTACAAAGGGGTCAGGCATACAGAGGATGGAGGTGTGATTCTACGGCACACAATTCATCTTTTGAAGCAAAACTTTCCCCACAAAGTCTTTCAAGTGCAACGTTAGCTTAATATACTCTTCTTTTTTTGGAACTTTACTTCTTCAGCTTAACTGATTTGCATTCACATTCTCAGGTTTTGACATCATTTGTCCTTAATCCAGACTTTCATTTACATCACTTTGGCCTCGAAATCTGCCCTTGCACATCACTCCAGCAGCAGGAAAACAACTTGAAGCAATTACCAAGGTAAGAGGATAAAAATGTAATAAAACCCAATTCATGTCCTGTACTTGTTCAGCGTCAGGTTTCACAGCAAAGGTACGTGTACCTTCTGTCCACGAAAGGGCCCGTTTGGAATGTTTTTTCAAACCCCATGAGGTGATGATTTTGGTTTTGGCTAGAAGATACAGAGTTTCATGGCTATTTTAAGATATGAAGTTAAAATAGTAAATACATATTCATACAAGGACATATGTCATGATCACAAAAACTTATGTAGTTTTGATGATATCAATAATCTAAATCACTAAAATACACCAAGCACTTGTCATGGCTAAGTACTGTACTTGGTTGACCGTAACACTTATAACAACCTGTTAGGAAGATGGACAAGAATGATTATCCCATTTTCCAGATGGGGTAAGAGAAAGAGAATTCATAGAGTTGGAGGCTGTGCTCTGACTTCAACTATTTTTTTTTTTGGCTTTTTTGAGACAGAGTCCCACTGTGTAGTTCAGGTTGGCCTGGAACTCATTACTTATGTAGCCTCAAACTTACAGCAATCCTCCTGCCTTACGTCTTGGGATTACAGGTGTGTGCCACCATGCCGGGCTGACCTCCTCTCTTACAAAATTCTAATATTCTTTTAGGATTCACAGGAGTCTGATAAAACATAAAGGGGAGGGGAATGTAACCTAGTGGCAGAGCATTTACCTAGCATTTATGAGGTATTAGGTTCCATCCCAGCACCACACACACACACACACACACACACACACACACACACACACCCATACACACTCACATACACACCACAGATGAAGCTTAAAGCCAGACAAGTTTTTTGAAACTTAAAGTGGACAAGAACAGTGTTACTTTAAAAACTGGCTATTGGATGCTGTGGCTTGGTTATTTTCTGCATGGAGGCTGTTGCTAATTGCTGTTCTGTTAACTGTGTCCTGTCCCACTAGATTTTACGAACAATTTAATTGCAGACTGATGACCTGGGAGAAACTTGAAAGTACAAGTTTTACCCACTGGCCTTCTCAAGTCCAGCTCAGCCACTGGGCCAATTTTTCCTGGCAGACAGCAGCCATACATTGCCTGCTGTGGGTATCCACCCTAGAGTGGGGCAGAGGAGGGTGCTTGGGACAAATGGCAGATTTTTCCACGCACTGAGGGTCTCAGAGGAGCGGTATCTGCCTTGAAGTCTTTGCCAGGCAGGGGCGCCATCTGGGGTGCACTTCCTGTACGAATGTTCCCTCAGCTGCTAGACAACAACCGGGTAATACATACTTTTCAACCTGAGCAAGTCCTAACCAGCCTTGAAAACCATAGGGTGGACAGGGCCAGAGAGCGGGTTGCAACTTGGGCACCTCATTAGCACCAAAAGCTGGGCCCTGGGGGGCTCTTGCCAGGCAGGCCCCAGACTCAGGTGGGGTTAGCTCCTACTCTCAGCCCCGCTGGTTGCCTGGCTCATAAACAGAAGGAATGGGGACTCTGGCTGGGGTGGGAGAGACCCTTAGATGGGGCCATTGGGACTTGGTACCATCAGCTTGGGTTGGCCACCACTGCCAGGCTGGGGCTGCTCCCCTGACCTTGTTGTCCCCATGGGCAGGTGGGGCCGGAAGCAGTCCTTGGCCTGCTGTGCACATCAGCCAGCTGCAGGCCTGGCTGTGTGCCCCAGGCACAGGGCCACCGTGCTGCTGGGGCAGCCCTTGAGCTCAGGGCTGGCAGCAGAAGAAAGGCAGGAAGAACAAAGCCAAGGGACAGGGAAGGCACAGCAAGAGAGGCTCTTTTCAGCCTTTAAAGTGCTAAGTTGGAAAAAAGGAGGAGGGGTGAGGGCCAGGCAGTTTCCAGAGAGAACCCCCAGGCCCTGGACATCAGGTTGTAGAATTTACAGTAAAGAGAATGAAGGTTCATCTATTTGGAAAACAGACAAAAAATTTTCTTTGAAATATTATCCAGGGATTTTGCCTAAGAAGAAGATATGTTAGCTAAGCACTAGCGTGCGCGCACACCCACACACCCACCCACACACACACACACCCTCCCTAGACAACAGCAAAGCATTCATCCTTTGGCCCCAATCCTGGTGAGTTTCCAGGTCAGCCTTGGAGCAGGGAGGGGGTGCTCTGGCTTCCTTCTGTTTGTGTGTGTGTATGTGTCTGTGTGTGTGTACGGTGCACACTGTGCATACATTCATTTCCTGTCTTTTTAACAATTTACCCACCCACACACACACACACCCTCCCTAGACAACAGCAAAGCATTCATCCTTTGGCCCCAATCCTGGTGAGTTTCCAGGTCAGCCTTGGAGCAGGGAGGGGGTGCTCTGGCTTCCTTCTGTTTGTGTGTGTGTATGTGTCTGTGTGTGTGTACGGTGCACACTGTGCATACATTCATTTCCTGTCTTTTTAACAATTTTTATTTTTATGAGTGCTTGTTTGCAGTACATAATGATCACATTCCTCCTGGGGAGCTGGTACACAGACCTAACAATCTTCATTCTTTTTATGTTCCCTCCCTCTTCCCTCCCTCCCCCTCCCACCCTTCAAACTTTTCATCTGCTTTACAAATCAAACCCTGGGTCAGGACGGAAGTCTGCTCTGCAGTTTCCACTGAGACTCCCAGAGGGTCCCTTCCTGTTAGCCCTGCATGCTGCTCGGCCACCTCTGCAGACTCACAGGGAACTGTCAGTGCCCTGGTTCCCTCTTCAGGGCAGGCCCCAGCCTCATCCTAGGGGAGGGAATGGGCACAGTAGGTGGCTCCAGGGACCAGAGCATACACATTTCTAAATGGATGGGACTTGGGGGACACAGGGTTGTTGTGAGGCCAAGTGCATGTCAATCAGATTATATAAGCTTCTTTGGGTGCTTGGTGGGGAGCAAACTAAGTTCCCCCAAAGCAGCGTGGGTTCAAGACACAAATGGCTCTGTGCAAATATTCTTACTGGTGTTTCTATTTCTTTCTGTAAGACAAGGTTCAGAAAGGACACAATTAGAGCCAAAGAAAAGATGTCCTTGAGCAGCCCAAGGCCAGCTCAGGGACCTGGCAGCTTGCATGGGAAGCTTGGAGGGTCCACTCCAAGACTGCAGCAGGGCACCTCTGTGTTTGTTTGTTTGTGTGGCACTGGGGTTTGCACCCAGGGCTTTGCAGATGTGGATGAAGCTCTCTACTAGTGAGCTCACTCCCAGCTCACACCTTGCTCTTTTTAGCCCTTTTCTCAATCTAATTCCTATTCTTCCTTTTGCAGATATAAGTAAGAGTCTGTGTAAGCTACTCTTTAGGTTTGCACACAGAACCTCTTTGAGTTTCAGACACATGCAAGATGGCCTCTTAAAGGTCATTTGCAAGCAGACCCAGCTACATACAAGGGGCTGATGACTTCCTCATCCTTGGTGACTTCTCCCCTACTAACAACCATCTGCTACAGAGGGGACAGCAACTGCTCTGCCCTTTCACCTGTCACGGATGGAAGTCCCAAGAGTGCTTTGAAATGAAAGACTGGAAGCCCAACCACAAGAAGAGGGACCACCAAGGCTTCTGGACCACACCGACAGATGGGCGGGACACTGCATGGGAGCCACCATGATGTTGTCCTCTGGATTATAGGGTAATGAGTAACTTATTATTTTAACTGAAATGTTTCTTGAGGTCACTGCATATATATAAGCACTTCTATGAAATAACTGACACAAGTCCCTTTTATATTCTGCCTAGGTTCTCCCATGGGAAAAGGCATAAGACAGTCATTGCTTGGTCTCCCTGGGGCACTTGTTCCAGGAACCCTCAGGGGTTCTGTTGCCCTTCCTTGTCCAAGATGGACCCCAGGACACAAGGAGAAGCCTGAGGACCTACACTGGTCCCTTGTCCTTGGGCGTCTGCACCGGAAGCCCCTGAAGATACTGAGATCTACAGTTGCTCAACTCCTTTATAAGGAATAAGTCTGTACATGTTTCACATAGATGCAATATTTTTCCACTTTTTTTTTCAACCATGGATGGTTGAATCTGAGGATGTGGGATGTGAGGATACAGAGGGCTGACTATCACTGTGGTAACCTGGACAATGACGTGGGTGCAATCTATTGATCCTAATCAAATTCCCAAGGTCTTCCTTAAACTCCTTTGTGGGTATTTCTATGCCATTTTATCATCTGTGTAGGCCCAGGTATCCACCACCAAGAGGCCAAACTTCTGTCACCACAAGGGTCTCTTGAGTCACTCTTATAATCACACTTGTCTTTTGCTACTACCAACCTTCAGCTCTTTAACCTCTGGCAAGCACTAATCTGTCCCCCATTTCAAGCATTGTGTCATTTCACAGTGTTTTATAAATATAGCCACATGGTGTATCCCCTTTTGGGACTGGTGTGGTTTTCACTTAGCAGAATCCCTCAACATTCACTCAAATTGTGTGTCACAATAGTTTGTTTTTCTTCCTTGCCGAGTAGTATTCACAGGGTGGCTATATGAGTTTGTTTAGCTAGTTACCTGCTGAAGGACCTCTGGGCTGATTCCAGGTCTGGCTGTTACAAATAAAGCTGCTATGAACTTTTGCGTATGAGTTTTTGTGTGAACATTGGTTTTCTTTTCTCTGGGATGAATGCCCAAGAACGCAATTGTTGATTTGGATGGAAACGGAATGTTTGGTTTTAGGAGAAACTGTCCAGCTGGGCTACTTTCCATTCCCACCAGCATGTGTGGGTGATCCAGTTTCTCTGCATCCTCGCCTGCCATGGGTGGCATCAAGACTTTTATTTTCTCTACTCTGATAGGCAGTGGTGTAGCTCTCCCAGTTGGGATTTCAGTCATGACTAACAGTGACAATCACTCTTCCTGCCACCTGTTGGTCCTCTTCCGTGAGATGTCTGGTTACATCTTTGGCTGGCTTTCTAATGGGATCATTTGTTTGCTATGTTGTTTTGTTTTGTTTTGTTTTTGGTGCTGGGGATTGAACTTGGGACCTTGCACTTGTGAAGCAGGCAGCAGAACCACTGAGCTAAATCCTTGGCCCTGTTTGCTGTGTTTTTAGCATCCTTTCTATATTCTAGATACCAGTCCTCTGCCAGCTATGTGGTTTGCAAATACTTTCATGCAGTTTGTAGCTCATGTTTTCATCCTCTTCCCATGGGCTTTCCCAGAACAAAAAAAATTTATTTATTTATTTATTTATTTGTTTGTTTATTTATTTATTTATTTGTTTATGGCACTGGAGATTGAACTTGGGACCTTGCAGCTGCGAGCACCACTGAGCTAAATCCCCGGCCCTTAAAAGCATTTATTTTGATGCAGTCTGACTTAATTTTTTAAAAAATGGATAATGTATTTGGTGTTAAGTTTAGGAGGAGCTGTCTGACTACCCCTAGTTCCCAATGACTTCATCTTCTTTTGTTTTAAGGTTGATACTCTTATTTGATTTAATTTTGTTTTGTTTCTTGAGATGTGGAATTGGTATGGTGCTTAGGCTGATCTTCAACTTCTCTGCTTACATGATCCTCCTGCCTCAGCTGAGTAGCTGGAATTAGGGTGCAGGCCACCACATCTGGCTTTATTCTTATATTTTAAATTTAAGTCTGTGGCCCACTTTGAGTCTTTAAAAAATAGTATTGGACATTGAGCCCAGGTCCTCGTGAATGCTTGGTGAATATTCTAACACAGAACTATATCCTAGCCCTTTTTACCTTATTTTGTGTCAGGGTATCACAGGATTGGGCTCAAACTTGTAAGCCTTCTGCTTCAGCCTCCTGAGTAGCTGGGCTTATAGGTGTTTCCCACCACTGAGCCAGCCATTTTGAGTTAATTCTCACATAAGCGGCAAAATTTAGATTGAGGCTCAATGCAGTTATCTATTATGTAGTGTCCAGCACCATTTGTTGTAAAGCTACTCTCTTTGCACAGAATTATTCTTGTATTTTTGTTAAAAATCCATTTAGTTTATCTGCATGGGTCTATTTCTGGACATGATCCATTGATCCATATGTCTACATCACCACAATACTATACAATCTTGATTACTATAGCTACCCAGAGGACCTTAATATCAGCTGGAGGATTTCTGCCCGTTTGATTCTTCTTTGTTAAGATTGTTTGAACAGTTTGCTTTTCCATATACAATGAACCCTTAAGTTATGACCGGCCTGACATATGAACAACTTGGGTCATGACTGGAATTTTAGTTTTAACTTACAACCAATGTCTGGAGTTACCACCCACATGATTCCAGATGGTCTCAGCTACAGGCTGAACCCTTAACGAGCTCTAGAAGGAACATTCCAGCATCCTCTCCTGTGTGGGGTTAACTGAGATATCCTGGGTCAGGGTCTTCCCGAGGACATTGACAGCGAGGGAGGGAAGATGCGGTCGGGCACAATCATATGCTCTGTGGGTCCTGCAGATCCCAACAGTGGAGAGGGGCCTGGGGACCCCAGCCTCCATGGGTGGCAGCCCATGGGTGGGAATTGCTTGATGACCCCAGCTCTAAAATCAAGGCTGCAACATTTCTGAGTGAAAGAGAGCAGCTAGCTGGCCAGCGCGCACGTTCAGGACGGTTGCCGCTCTTTCCACCACTGTGTGAGGCCCTCTGTCCCTAGGGCCCTTCTCTGCTTGGAGTCTTCTTCATTCCATATGAACATGACCGCTCCTCACTATGGCAGGCTTTTCATGCCATACATTTCAATCCTTTTACGTTCAACCTGTCTCTGTCGTTAATCCTGACACGAGGTTCTTGTCAACAGTGTATTCTTGCGTCATTTTTTTCCCTCTTAAATCTACTCTGCAATCTTATCTTTTGATTGGAGTGTGCAGGCCATTTATCATCATGGCTGCTATTGGTGCATAGTATTTTGGCATTTAATTTTGCCACTATATTATTTGTGCTCTGTGTGTGTTTGTTTGTTTTTAGTGTTTCATTTCTCTGTTTCTGTTTTCTTCTGTTTCTGAGAATTACTTTGAACATGTTTTCGATGCCACCATAATTTTTGTGTTCCTTTCCTCTGGGGGCCACTGGGGGTTGAACCCAGGTCACCTGCATGCCAGGCAAGTACTCTACCCTTGAGCTCCATCCCTCAATTATAGTGTTTTCAGGGAGACCTCTGTCCACTTTCTACAGTGGTTGTCTAAGTATCAGTGCTCATGCGTGACTTACCCAGCCTGTTGTTAGTCCAGTTCTGCCACTGTGAGATGTGGAAATCTCATTTCCCTGTGGAACTCTTTCCCTTCCCTGCCCTCCACTGTTATTGTCACAAGTACCAGATGTTGCGATTTTTGGTGCAGACATCAAATGTGACTTATAGAACTCACGCAGAAACAGGGCAGACCATTGTGTGTCCCTGCATTTCTGCTCTTTGCTCTGATCCCTCTTCCTGGATGTTCCAGGATCCAGTTATCATTTCCTTTCTCTCCGAAGGACTTCCTTTATGGTGAGTCAGCAGGCAGCAAATTCTTTATGCCTTCCTTCATTCCTGAGAGACGATTTAGTGGTTGACAGCTCTTCTCTGCTGGCCCTTGAAAAATCACACTGTAGATAGGTGCGGTGGCACACGCCTGTAATCCCAATACTTGGAAGGCTGAGGCAGGAGGACAACAATGAGTTCGAGGCCAGCCTGAGCTACATAGGGAGTTCAAGCCCAGCCTGAACACCTGTCTGAAAGAAAGAAAGAAAGAAAAAGAAAGAAAGAAAGAAAGAAAGAAAGAAAGAAAGAAAGAAAGAGTCACAGGGCCATTTCCTTCCAGCCCTCGGAGGGGTTTTCAAGAGAAATGCCATCATTGGAATCTCTATTAGAGGTCAGCTATCATGTTAAGAGTTTTTTTTCTTTGTCTTTCATTTCCAAAAGCTTAATTCCGTGGTTCGCTTATCTGTTCCCTGCTGGTGCTGCCTGAGGGGGTGAGGGGCTGGGGGACTTGCCGCTCCTGCTGTGGGAGAGGAGGACAGGTTCAGGCCTTGCAACACAGAGGTTTTCCTGGACCAGGGGACTTCCGGCTGCCTAGTGTCCCTTGGTATCCTGTTTCTCTTGGTGGGAATGTGGTGTCCAGATGCGTGGAGGAAGGGACTGCTTCTCTGGAAAGGGAGGGGCCCGACAGAGATCTGGAGGGGGCTCTGTCCTCTGTCCAAGGGCTGGTGACATGGTCTTTGCACAGCAGATGCCTCAGTGCCCTGAAAGCTGTTCAGTCAGTGGCTGCCCCACTAGGGGTTGGACACAGGAGAAAAGCCAGATGAGCCACTGTCTGGATCATAGAAGATGACGTGTCAGAGGCAATGTGAGTGGAAACCAATGCTGGGATTCTCTGAGGAGGACTTTTTTCCCCATTAAGTTTATTGGTGCATTTAAAGCAAACAACACAGTTACATTTATCACTGGGATCTTGTTCCTTTACATGATATGTCTTGTTCTTGTTTTTTCCCCATACCCCTGCCCTCCCTTCACCTCCTTCACCCTTCCCTATTTACAAAGACTTTGTTTCCATTTTTTCCTTTTTCCACATTTTTTCTTTTCCCTTATTTCCTTTCCCCTCCCCTTCCCACTTCTCCATTAGCCATTTCTAACTAGGCCTTTCAAGCAGTCGCTCTCAAAATGCTCCAGCAAAGAATATAAATTCTCTCCAAGCAAAGAGACAAAAAAAGAGAAAGCCTCATGAAAGAGATAAAAGTTGTATGAAAGAACCATGGGGAAACTGCAGAGCGGAAAGAGACAGTAACTAGGGTAGACTCACACTCCAATACCATGAAACAGCATCCAGGGATGAAATAAAGGCATTGGAGCCCAGAGCAACATGTCCAAGAGCTTACTGAATACTTGCTCTGCGGCAAGATGTTGTTCTAAGCATTTTTTGTGTATTAATTCATTCAGTTTTTCACAATGGCCCCACAAACTAGATACTGTAATAATGTCTGTGTAATAGATGAGGAAACTGAGACAAGCAGGTTGAGTGACTTGCCTAAGGTCACACAATTTCCCAGTGGTAGAGTCAGTTAGTCAACTGACATACCCCCCACCACACACACACTTTTTCTGCAGTTCTGGGAATAAACACAGGGCCTGCACTCTGAGCTATATCCTCACCCTGCTCCCCCCATACCACCTCTTTCCTTTTCTTTAGACAGGGTCTCACTAAGTCACTGTTTCTCAGGCTGGGCTCGAACTGGTGATGTTCCACTGTGCTCAGCCTGTCTTTGGGCTTATCCACATGTAGGACTGCACACTGTTCTGCCTCTCTGGGAAGATGAGAGCATTTGAGTAACAAATCCAAGGGGCTCTGTCGGCCAGGGATGCAATAACCTCCCACCTGCTCTCTCTGTCCCTTCTCTCATCTCCTGATTGGGGATCCTCTCCTCCCTCTCTCCTACTTGTCCACCAAGCTCCACCCTCTGGCTTTCCTGCTATTCTCTCCACTTATCCCTGCCCCCGGCCCTTTGTACCTGCCATTTCCCCTGCTGCCTGAAATGGCATCTCCAGCTCTTCCTCTACGGCACTGTCTGAGGGGGCTCTCCAGGCTGCATTCCTCTTGTCTTCTGATCCCATCTTGCTCTGGTTTTACTGTCTTTATCGCTGTCTACAGCTCAGAAAGAGGAGAGGCCTTGTTATCGGGCACACTGCTTGACCACAGTAGTGGAACAGGCCTGACTCTCTCTAGTGGGGGTGCAAGTATGTAAGTAGGCAGAGAATTGAAACAAGGATGAGCTGTCTCTTCCCAGAACCTGACAGCCGGACAGACGAAACTTTTCATTTGGAAACCTAATAATTTTCAAGACGAATCTGTGACAGGATCTTCACAGAAAAGCTATTTAACGAAATAGACCACATTTTCACCAGTATAACTCATTGATTCTTAACGATGTACCCTTTTACATGTTTTTGCTTCCTAAAATATATATGTAGTATTTCTTGAACTGTGGTGTTGGTAGGAAACCTAATCTGAAATCTTAATACTTAAAAAATTCTCTTCATTGTCCAACACTTTAAAATTTATCAATTATGAAATATTTGTGGAGCACAAAATACATAATAGTGCTCACTGGGGGTGTGTCTTATGAATAAATCAGTGTCATTTATTTTTTGTGCAATGAAACTGGGGACTGAACCCAGGGGTGCTCTACCGCATAGGTCTTTTTATTTCTTATTTTGAGAGGTTCTCACTAAGTTCCTCAGGCTAGATTTGCAATCCTCCTGCCTCAGCCTCCCAAGTAGCTGGAATTAGAGTTCTGTACCACTGTGCCTGACTTTGAATCATAACTTTTAACTGACAATTTTTTTTCAGTTCTGCTGTTTCTGATTTCCAGCTTAGCCATGTTTTGGTTCAGGCATCTGATATATGGAATCAGTGGTTTTGGCCGCTAGTAGGGCTCCTTCCCCTCCCCGATGGTGACGCCTGTTTCTGTTCCCCCATGGAGACCAGGTCCAGCCCCATCTCTGGGACATCTCAAACCAGTGCAAAGCCCCGGGACACTCATGGCCTCTGCCCTCTGCAGGGTTCCTGCCTGTGAGTGTGCAGGGCTCCCCAAATTGTCTGTTTGTTGGCTGGCTTCTGGGTTCTCTGGGACAGACAAAGACTGCAGGATCTTAGCTGAGCCTTCAGGACAGTGGGCCAGGGAGAAGGCCTCCTCCACACCAAGAAATCGAACCCTAACTGAAAGGGAAATCTACCTTCCAAGTACAAACCAGGCCCGACCCTGCTTAGCTTCCGAGATCAGACAAGATTGGGCGCATTCAGGGTGGTATGGCCATAGACTAGGGAGATCTCATTGTAGCTGCTCCCTTCCTGAGCTTCTGTATTTCTGCAGATGTCATTTTTCTCTCTGTGACTAAACCATGAGTAAGAGATGGAAGAGGAAGAGGTGGTTTGAGGTGGAACACAATGATTTGATTTGAGGTTGCATCTGAGGTTTTGGGGCCACTGGTGTGGCTGAGTCATCTTTGCTCCCTTCCGTGGGTGCTGACTCAGCCAGCTCCCCATCCTGAGGCCTCCCCCAACCCCCTCCTCTCTGGTCCGGTGCTCTTCTTGCCACCGACAGGAGCCTGGGAACATGTCTCCTCCCTTCTGATCTGTTCTTAAACCCCGATTCCCAGTTCCCAGTTGTTCAGCAGTTACTCTGACTGGAGATTCCCTTCATCTGTCACTCAGCTATAGCAAAGCACATTCAAGGAGTGATCTGTAACCAAAGATATGCATGGCTCACAGTTCTGGAGGTCAGGAAGTCCAAGATAGCACCTCCGGCCAAATCAGTACCTGGTGAAGGCTGTCTTGCTGCTGAGACTTCCAGGGCAGAAGGTGGAAGGGGCAAAAGGACAAAGACTGTGTGCTCACATGGCAGAGGAGACAGAAGGGTCTGGCAGCTCTGGAAGCCTCTTTACTTATGACATTGATGTCTATGTGGCTGAATCACTCACAGAGTCCTCACCTCTTACCACTGTCACCCCGGGACTGGGTTCAATGTGAATTTTGGAGGAACACAAAACATAGCAGAGCATGGATTGTTTGTGGAGGCATCAATGATGATTCTACCTGCTCATCAGAGGAAGCCTCTAAGGGCTTAGGGACAACCCTGCCTTGGCCTGGTGATTCTGGACCTCTGAGTTTCCCTCCACCTTCATGCTCTGCCATAGCTCCACATATTCTCATATAAGCCTTCATGCCCCGTCTCCTCTTGCTTCTTGCCTAAGCCTGGATTCCTCTGTTCTCCTGCCTCTCTCTTCTCTACTAAGAACTCTGATCTGTCCTCCAAGGCTGAGCCGAAAGCCCAACTTCCCCATAGGTCCTTCATGGTCCCCTGCCCAGAACGAGTGCTCTTCCTCCTGGGGGACTTCAGTACATTTCTGACACTTATCATTGTCACATTTGGCCTCCGATCAAATACACATGTTAGCTCCACCACTAAGCCATCAGAGGGAAGTGTCTGTGTGTGGCCAACCTGGAGGCTTCTATCTCTCCTCCTCAGCAGCTTCCTCACATATGGGGGACCTCGGACAAAGGTGACCTTTGAGTCTGCTATAATTTATTGCCCAATTTGAACACTTTTCAGGGAAAAGGAGGCACAATTAATGGTTACCCTGACGATTAGGGTTATCCTGGGCCAATGTCTTTGGTGATTTGGACATTTAGTTGTCTACTAATGCTGCGTGAAGGCCTGGGGACAGTTGGTGAGTTCAGCAGAAATGCTAGGTAGGAAGACAGGTGGTGAACAGGAAGGGAAAGTGGAGGAAGAAGGTTGGGGTGGAGCTGGTTTTGTTGGGATGGCTCCACTGGGGGACACTGGGAGGGAAGGATGGGTCTCAGGAAGTCCCACAGGGACAGAAAGAGTGACCTGGGAAGGACAGGATGGCAGGACCTGAGGAATGGCCACAGTGGAAGTGTTCTGAAAATAGCATCTGGCTGCAGTTCTGGTTTGTATGGGTGGGGGATGGGCTACATGGTTGGGAAACAGAGCCAGAAGGAACTGGGCTGAAAGGGTGACCCCGGAGTTAGAGGAACAGCTGAGTGTGTGAGAGCAGGCAGACACAGGACTGGCAGAATTTTAGGAAGACCAATCCGGAGGTTGTGTCGGCCTGGGGAACAGCTGAGGAGAGGGGCCATACCAGATCAATGGAAACACAGTCATCCCCTGGGATCCACAGGGCTGGCTCAAGGATCCACAGGTAGCAAAACCCAGGGGCACTCTAGTGCCTTGTATCGAATGGCATAGAATCAGCATAGACTCCCATGCTTCCTCTCTGCACTTGGAATCACCTCTAGACGACTTAGAATACTTGGCACAATGTAAGTGCTCTGCGAGCAGTTGTTCTACTGTATGATTCAGGGAATAGTGACCACAAAAATATTGCATGTCAGGTACAGATGCTGCCTTGCAGGACACGGTGCATGGTGGGAGGTTGGCTGAATCTGTGGGACTCTTATGCAGGGCCACCTGTGACCTCATCGAGGAAGGAAAGGAAATATAAGTGACCTAAAATTGTGAGTCAGGGGGACAGGAAAGGAAGAATTAACAGGCTTTTGCGACCCAAGGGAGAAATGAATGGCTCTGGGCATGCTGGATGGATTCTCTCTGTTGGTGTCACAGATTGAAATAAGGAAGCCAAGAGGTGAGGCAGCTTGGGAGGAGATGATAAGCTTAGCTGTGCACATATGGAGTTCGAGGCTCTTGTGCAAACATCCAGTCAATATAGCCAGTGATGTGTTCCCTGGAAGTGGGTGGGGTCAGGCTCAGGGAAAACGATTTAAGAGTCATCCACCCATGGGAGGTGATGGGTGAAAGAGGAAAGAGTCCAGAAGTAGGGAGGGTAGTGGTGATTGTCCTGGGCAGATCTTGGGAAACCGCTGCTCTCAGTGGAGGCTGGGAGAGGGTCAGAGCCAGTGAAGTCACAGGGAGAGGGGGACGGAATGGCCCAGAGCGGGGAGGGCTAAAGGAAGTGTCCAGAAAGAGGCAGCCAATTGTGTCAGCGTGTGCAAAAAAGGCAGACAAAAGTCAAGACTCACTCCGTGAAAAGAGGCTTTGGCAATTAGGATGACAATCAAATTGCGAAATACCTAAGGAAATGAACCAGAAATGGGTTTCTCTGACCACCAACACTGCACAAGACTGATACAGGTGCCCTGGTCATAGATGTGTTGATGTGATGGGTGTTTCCATCCTAAGAATGACCAAAGGGCAGAACAGTCCAAAAGTCAGTTAGATACAACTAAAGTACGGATGGCTCTAAAACGTGCCGGCTTTCGACCTTTAGCCAAGGAACCCAAGGCTCAGACACTCACCTGGGACTCCTTTTCTCACCCAGGAGGCAGCAATACTGGGAATAGAAGAAAGAACTCTTCTTCATATAGATTCCATCATAATGATACCTGGAAATAAAGGTTGATTTTAAAATGACATCAAACCCCTGACACACACACAGCAAGTGGTGAATAAAGAACTGGAATCCATCGCTGGACTTCACTATTGGCTCCATTCATTCAGAAAAGCTAATCTGTCCCAGGGCCTGAGCAACCTCTGGAAGGTAGACAAGCAAGTTCCTGTTACAGATGACCCTGGACTTGTGATATTTCAGTGTAGGAGCTTTTAACTGTATACCGATGGGAAAGTGACCCTCATTTTTTAATGTGGACTTTTCCCCCAGGATGGTGCCAAGCACTGTAGCACTCTTTCCATGCTGGATAACAGGAGGGGCCGCACGCCTCGTCAGGGAGGGGCCACAGCGGTGGTGACATGCGGGTCACTGAGCTCACAGCAGGTGGTTATGTGCACTCCATGCATTCCCTACTTGCTGTGGGTCCAGGCCCACACAGCCCATCGCAGCAGCCACGTTCCTGTGTCATTTGGGTGCCAAAGGTTTGCTTTCCTTGAACCCAAGTTCTTAGCTCAGCGCTCTGCTGAACCTAGGAGACGCAGAGCAGCAGAACAAGATGTTTCGGTCCTTGCTGCCCAGCGTTAGGTGTGGCAAACTATCTTGCTACCTCCTCTTCCTCTGTGGCTGGCAGGGATGGGGGAGGGAATGAGTTTTCTAACATGACTTCCAAACCTTCCTGCTACAATTTGAAACAATCGACACATGACTGTAATAGCCGAGTTGTGATTATGCTAACGATGTCCCCTGATAATTCGGGAATTTCCTTGCTGAAATCTAGAAGGTTGGGCCTGGCCTCCGGAGTATAATCAGGTGTGCTAGTGGGATGACTACTGAGAAATTTTAGTTCACTCGGCGTAAACCTGAAGGATTGAAAGCCAGCATTCCTAGGGAACCCACACAGCAATGCTTATTGAGGCAGAAGTCACAACAGCCAGAAGTACCAGCCTCAGTGCCATCGACAGGGGAAAGGATGAAGAAAATGTGGTGCACTAATACACAAGGCAGAGTTATGCAGCCGTAAAAAAGAAGGAAATTTTCCAGGAAAATGGATGGAACTGGAGATCACTCCGTTGAATGGAATAAGCAAGGCTGAGAAAGACAAATATTGCATGTTTTCCCTAATATGTGGCCCTTAGAAGGATGACATGAAAGCAGAAGGGAGACTATTATTACATGGGAGGAAGGGAAGAGGGGGAGAGGTGGATATGATCAAAATACAATACACACATCAAAACCAAATATTCTGTGATTCATAGGCATAAATAGTGAAATGAAAACATTAAAACATTCAGCAAAGAAGATAAGAACAATTAGTTCAAAGGATAATTAAGATAATTCATTATTCCATGTCTATCATTACTCAGTTATTTCAATAGACATTTACTCATCTAAACATTTAAATTGTGGAAACAAAAAAATAGGTACCCAGTGACTTTTGTAAACTTTTACTGTTGCTAGAAAGCCTTCAGGATTTAATTTGAGCTACAGGCACTATGTGGTAAGAACTCTTACTTATAGTTTGAAACTCGTTTTTAACATTTCAAAGAAAACGAAGTTCAGACATTACCTAGCGCTGCCTCTGGTCCCCAGCCGGCGGGTGCCGAGGTCCGGGAAGGCCAGGTGCACGAGCTGTGAAGAGAAAGCACAGTTAGAGCTGCAGGTCCAACACCGAGAGGCAGGCTCCTTACCCTCTTAGACAGTTTAGTTCACTCGTACTTTTCTGATTATAAAGAAAATAAATATAAGTGAGATTGAAGAAAAAGATCAGACTAGATAGGTTTGGAAAAAAGAACATACTGCTCAGAGAAAATTGCCGTTTAAAACCCAGTGCAGAAAAAAAAAAACAACTCTTCTCCTTGGTGGGAATGTAAACTGGTAAAACCCCTGTGGAAATCAGCATGGAGACTGTTCAGAAAACAAAAACCAGAAATTCCATCCAACCCCACTCTTCCCCTTCTGAGCATCTTCCCCAAAGAGCTGAAGACCTCACAATGCAGTGATCCATGCACACCCTTGTTTATAGCAGCACAACTCGTAATCGCGAAATCTTGGAAGCAGCCTACAGCAACACCTCAATTCGCAAATCTGGCTTGCAAACAAAAGTGTTTGGCAAAATTTTGCTTCCATTTACAAATTCCACACTGGGTGACAAACTGTCATGGTCGTCTCTCCCATACAAGCACAAACACAGCCATCTTCCCCCAAAGCATAAAACAAGTTAAGGTTGTAAACTGAGGTATCACTGTATATGTCCATCAACGGATGAGTGGAGAGAGAAAGTGTAGCATTGATATGCAGTGGAGTCCTACTCTTCCAGAAAGAAGGATAAGACTGAGGCATTCATAGGCAAACGGTTGCACCCTGAGATCATACTATTAAGTGAAATAAATCAGACATGAAGTTTAAATATGGTATGATTTCTCTTATATGAGAAATCCGAAGTATAAATAAATTAAAGAGCAAAATAAAGGATAGGTAACAGTAAACAGAGAGATAGATGTTTTGCAAAAGGGAAGGGACCCAAGAGATGGAGGTTGGGGAATTGAGGGAGGGAAAGAGACACAAAAAGAATAAAGATGAGTTATACACATGCACTGACCCCCCATGAGGAATGTAATCATTATACCCTGCAGGCACAGGCCAATAAAAATAAAAATTAAAAAAAACCCAGTGCCTCCCCCTCAAAAAAAGCTGGGCATGGTGGTGCATGCCTATAATTCTAGCACTTGGGAGGCTGAGGCAGGAGGATCGCTGTGAGTTCAAGACCAGCCTGGGCTACAGTTCCAGGTCAGTCTCTCCGGTACATAATGAGACCCTGTCCAAAACAAAAACAAAAACAAAAAACAAAAAACCCAGTGCCAGGGCTGGGCTGTGGCTCTGTGGCACAGTGCATGATCAGCAGGAGGCCCTGCCTTTTGTCCCCAGCACCGAGTGAAACAATGACTTTGGTGTCACTGTCCCAGTCTTTTTGCAAAGCCTTAGTAGGCATGCAAGTTCCCTGTGTACCTGTATGAGATCATGGGGCCCTACAATGAGCGTATCTGATGTTTTGCATTCTACTTTCCCCCTTCAGCATCTTACCATTTTCTCTGGTGATTAAAAATTCCCTGGAAATGGGGTGTTGTTAATAGCATCCCCATAGCACATCCCGTGAGGTGCTATCTTAGCTGCTTTCCCCTTTCTGTAGTGTGAGAGTTATTTTCACTTTTTGCTTTCATTTCTTTACCTAACTTTCTGGTTCAAGGTTTCCTTAGTGAATGCTTGGAAACACTTAAGCACTGTGGCTACTTCTGGTTCACTTATCTCTAGTTGCGGGGACTGATATTCTGCCCGTGGTCCTTGGAAATCTGTTCCAGTTTCCTTATCAGAAGAAGCCAGTGGTGTGTGTGTGGCGTCCGGGCTGGGCCTCTGAGCATAGAACACCGCTGGTGGTGGAACTGCAGGACGGACTGGGGAAACTTTCATGGCTGGAGCTGTCCAGGAATCATCTCTCTCCTCTCCTGTGTGGCCACTCAGCCCCACCTCTGCCTGGCTTCCTGTTGTATTAGCTCCAAAGAGCAGGATTTACTGGAAACTTGGTGAAACCTTTGGGTGATTCTTCCCACAGGAAGATGACACAAGCCCGGGGATGGAGGGCACAATCGCCACAATTAAACACTGTGCTCATGAGTGTAAACTGAGGGGTCTTCAGGCGGTGGGGAGCCACGAAGTACAGAAGAAAAATAAATGACGGAGGTCAAAGCCAAAGTCAGCCAAGCGCAAATGTAGAATGAAACGCCATACACTCCTATCTCCAACAAGGCATCGTAAGAAAATCACTCAAAACCTTCCTGTACGTCTAATTGTAAAACAAAATAGATGCAAATAGTAGGTGCCCAGAGGAATCATTAGAAAGCCTGCAGTGGGCTCAGATGTGACAACCTGGGAAACGATGCAGCATTTCGAAAGGAGATGCAGAAGTAAACTTCCTGGTTGCCTGGCAACATAATAATCTGCACATTATATATTATTGACTAACTCCAGACTCAGATTATCCTGTAATTTAATTTATGAGCAGGTACGTTACAGTTAAAATGAAAAAAATACTCTGAGATAATTACTTCTAAAAAAATACAATGAAGTTAAAAAAAAGTCATAAGGAGAGCTTCAACAAATCAATAAGAAAAGCACAAATTTAGGTGCTAATCTAGAAATTCAGACTCCAGAATTCTCCAGGTCTGAGCCATTTTCAGCACTGATAAGATGCCACACTATAAAACTTTGTTTCAGCCACAAAATTAAACTGTTGTGTAAGATTATCTTCTGGCTATGTGCACAAGGTGTATATGAAACCAAGTGAATGTGGAGTTTAGATTTGGGTCTCACCTTCTCCCCAAAGATATCTCTTTATATCCTTGAAAGTATTTCAAAATCTTAAACACTCTAGTTCCAAGCATTTTAGATAAGGCATAGTCACCCTGTACTCTAGTAGAAAACAATCTGGTGATATTATGTACACACGGCAATGCTTGTACAAAACTACTTAACTTCTCTAGTAATCCAATAAATGCAGAAGAGAAAGATGAATATTGCTTTTACTTCATAAATTTTTCCCTGAATGGGAATACTTGGGTTTGAGTAAGAATGTCACAAGGATTAGAATTGTTTATAGTTTGATGTGGGGAGCAATATGACAGGTGTCTTAGTTACTTTCCCATTGCTGAGACAAAATACCCAAAATGCATGATTTAAAGGAGGATAGGTTTATTTTAGCTCACAGTTTGTAAAGATTCCAGTCCATAGTCAGCTGGCTCCAAGGCAGGGCAGCATGGTAGCGGGGCCTGGCAGAGGAGTGCTGCTCACAGCAGGGCAGACAGGAAGGAGACAGAGATCAAGGGAGGAGGAGGGAGATGGATCTGCCAGGCCACGCCCCCAGTGACCATCTCCTCCAACCAGGCTTTGCCTTCCAACATCACATTTCGCTATAAACTCATCCGGGACTAATCCTCCCATGAGTATCACACCCCCATGATCCAATCACCTCTCCAACCCCACCTGTGAGCTCAAGAGGCTTCAGAGGAACCTCCAGATATGAGCCATAACAGCAAGCCATGGCTGAGAATCTGTCCTAGAGAAATGACCAAGTATATAGATAGAAGTTTATATTGCTTAGAACAGAGAAAAATCGCAATTAACCTGCATCCCCAGTGAGGAATATGGTTAAAAAAATTATGGTACAGTCCAAAAAACTTTTCTAGCCATTATACAACATGCATTTGAAAATGCTTTAATGTGGAAAATGTTTATGATATTTTGAGCAAAAATAAGAGTGATAACATAAAAGTTAATATTTCTTGACTGCCAGCATGGCTTTCCTCTCTTTTTATGTATTTTCTCATTCATTCCTTATTAGAATATCATGATGAAGGCATTATTATTATTAACCTTACTGCTACTAATATCCTCATAGATGACAGTAGAGGGACAATATGGTTAAACAACTTGCTCAGGGTTGCAACCTAAAAAGTGAGTCCGAGCTTGGTGCTGTTAAAAGTTATATTGTCTGTCTTTGCATCCCTGTATCTATCTGTCAATCTCTATCTCTATGAATCTCCGTATATGTCTATCTTCATATCCATCTTTATCTCTATAACTACCTGTACATGTATCTTTATATCTGTCTATATCGACCTGCTTCTATGTGTATTTATCTTCCCATCTATCGCTATATGTATCATCCGTCTCTATATCGATCTAGGTATTTGTCTCTCTCTGTCCTGACAAGGAAACAGCACTGTCAGATGAAAATAATTGAAGAAGGATTCAACTAAAGGTATCTTTATGACTGGTGTAAAAGGAGATGGGGAAGCAATAGGAGCTCTTCCATATCCAAGGCCCACGAGGAGACAAAAGTCAAATCCGGAAGGAGAAAGTCTTCCATCTCTGCTATCTGTTCATCCGTCTGTCTGTCATCCTTCCCCACACCCATCCACCCATCCATCCATCCACCCATTTGTCCACTCACCTGTCCATCTGTTTGTCCATACACTTAGTATCTATATGACAGGCTGAGGCCCAAGGACCACACGCAGCGATGTCCTGGAGCACTTGGCTAAAGTTTGGTTCTACACCTCTAAAGGGCCTCAGGCTATGCACCCATGGTGAGCCAGAGAGGAAGCAGTGTGAGGCACTTCCTTCTGTGAGGGCTCCCTCTCCCTGTGAGGCACTGCATGAGGGGTGAGCTCCCAGCACCTCAGCCTAACCTGGGTTCCCTGTCACTTGAGAGCTCTCTGTGAGGCCCCGTGGTTGAGTCCAGCCATGACCTGGACTCCTGGTGAACAGTGAGGAGAGGGAGAGCTGAGTGAGGAGAGGGAGAGCTGGCTGAGTAGAGGGAGTCTGCTGCTCTGGGCTTAGACCTACCATCTATGAAGGCGGGGAATGGCTGGATCCCATCTGGCCCCCAACTCAGCCCTGTGCAAGAAAAAGCTGGTGAGTGGGAGCCCAGACTCTGCAAGGTCTAGAGCGAGGATGGACAGATAGCAAGTGACCGCCACCAACAAGCTCAGGGACACACACAACGGAACACCAAGGCAGGCACCCCTGGACAGAGCAGAGAACAACAACTTTCCAGCCACTCTCCCCTCCCTTCCTCGGCTCTGGCATCAGACTGTACTGGGGAGCAGGGGCAGAGGCAGGTCCTCCAAGGCCAGACACCAAGCTGGTGGAGACAGAAATGGCTCTACTTTCGAGGTGTCCAGACTTTGATGTTATCTGGGATGGGATTATAAGCACCAGGCAGCTACTGTTGGGTCCTAGAGCCTGACAGAGGGACTTGTGAGTGTGACAAAGGGACCTGGTATCCTCTTGGGCTCTTGTGCTCACTCAGGAAGGAGATGGGGCAGGGGACAGGCATCCAAAGGGGCATGGGAAATGAAGGTCACGATGAAGCCTGTGGTCCCTGCCCAGCTCCTGCTGCTCACACATGCGTGCATGAGTGTACATGTGAGCAACATGTGGTTGTATGGCTGCACTCTGAGGTTATAGCCGGTATTTATTTTCTCCTTTGCAATGCTCTTTTCTTTAATTTCCACATTTCCTACCAAGAGGATGTATTCCTTCCCAATCAGAAAAGCATTAGTAAATGTTATTTCCACAGAGGAAGTCCGCCTTCCGGAAACATGCGGTCCAGGGGAGGCATCGCTTGTCCCAGGAATGAGCGTCCCCCATGTCACTCATCACCATCCACAGCTGCCAGAAAGCGCCAGCCATTCCCACATCTGCAGGGAACTTGGTGCCCAACCAACTCCGTTCCCAGGGGAGGAGGCAGGAAGTGAGGGTTGGGTATTTTGTTGTCTCTCTTGTAAACATGCTCAGGATCATATCCTTTTCCCCTTCCTCTCCCCATTTAGTCACAGTTCATAGCACAGAGTATCTGCTCCACTAGCCTGGCCCAGGGCCCAGGAGACTCCCCAAGTGGAGCTCACTGCTAGTGCCTTGGGGAGCAGGGAGTGGGGTCTGAGGGAGAAATGGGGCGAAAAATGCAAAATATTAAGCATCGCGTGGTTTCTCCTATATGAGAAACCCAAAGTATAAATACTCAAAAAGCAAAGTAAAAGATATATGATAGAAAGCAGGGTTTTAGATCTTCTGCAAAAGGAAGAGGAACCAAGAAATGGAGAGAGCAGGAGGGAGGAGAGGGAAGGGGATATAAAAAGAATTAAGCTGTGATTGTCCATGTCCCAACTCCCTGAAATAAATATGATCATTATGCACTGCAAATGTACTCACAGAGATAAACATAAACAATAATCCAAATACATCAATTTTTTGAAGTTAAAAAAAAGAAAATGCAAAATGAATGCAGGTATTCTAGACTCTTTATACTAGTCTCCTTGTATTATTTTCCTCTGGAATATTCTACAGCTCGAAAGACCTTATCTAAGATCTGCTTTTGTTGTCTTTCAGGAGCAGAGGGACTGTACGTGCCAACCACATGCTCTGCTGTAACTCAGTTAAACTCCCGTTCCCAAGATCTTAAAACACTATGGAAAAGGGATTTTTGGGGTCTTAGAAAAGGGCGTAGGGACCATATAGGGCCCTAATACATTCAGCTGAGGTCACCCGCTTCCCTGAGAGGCTGGCAGGTGGGAAACAGGGAGGGGCTTTCATGCCGGGATGCCTGGAGCCCAGCCAGGCCTTTGATGAAGTTTCCTCGTATTCTGAGTGGTGAATAACATGGCAGGGAACCTCCAGCTGCAGGAAAACTTCCCAAGGGTCACCTAGCAAAATGAAGTGGCCAGGAGACCTGCTCACAAACATGGGAGCTGCAAGGGTGCCCATGGAGTAGGGATTCTGGGAGACGGTGACAACAGTGTTGCAGGTCAAGCACAAGTGTGAGCTACACGGGACAGAGAGCTGGCTCCTGCTGTCTTCAGCCGGCCACACAGCCCTGACCGTCCGATGACAACAGTCATGTTCTTTTCTGTTCACAGGGAGTATGTTGCAGTTCACAAAATAGTTTTGGGGAGGCATAGCTTCCTTTAACTTTATGTGAAAAAAAGACTTGAGTTATTCTGTGGACCACAAGTTGACAGTAAAATCCATAGAATGCTATGCTATAGAAGAATAAGAGATGATAGAAGCCACCAAGAAGAAGAGGAGGAGGAAGAGGAGGAGCGACAAGCACAGAAAGAAAGGGAAGTGCTCCTGCCCCCTGCTCACCCCCAGGTCCTGGGTGGCACCCTGGGGCTACCTTTCAGGCCACCTCAGTATACCAGAATTGTAATGAATTGGGAAGGCAGGAAGGGGAAGGCCAAGAAAGTGCTCAGGTTGGGAGGGGAGGGCAGGGAGACGGGAATCATTGTGCCAGATATTTGAGCCTCGGCCCTTTGTGAAGACCCCACCTCGCAGTCTTATTATCATGAGCACAGAGCTCCCACCAAGGACACGAGTTTCAGGGATGTGGACTTGGGTTGGAAGACTGGATGAATGCTTATCAATGCTGTGATGTCAAAAGTGGTGTCCATGGGATTGCTGGAGAGACCACCTGGGGGTCAGTTTGGCCTGGATGTCACTGGCCACACACGCTGTGATCTGTAGGTTCACTCAAGGATATTCATGGCCAGGAGAAGATCTTCACAACAGACACACACAGACAGACACACACACAGGACACAGGTGCATTAGCACTCACAGTAGCAACGCCAGGACACAGCCTTAACCCTTACCCACGGACAGCACACACATAAACTAAAACAGTGCACTGCAGTCTCAGGAAGCCAGATTTCTCTTAATACAGTGCTCAGTGAGATGGAGGCAGTGCAAGACTCATTTCAACAAAGTTAAGCGGCAAAATTAGAAATAGGCTTTCTGCCGACACTCATCAATGCTGTAAAACCTTTTCGTTTTATATTTTGGTGCTGGGGATGGAACCCAGAACCTCGTGTGTGTTAAGCACGTGCTCGGCCCCTCTCACTCTGGCAGGAGAAACCCACGCCCAGGAGGATGGTTCCCGCCAGTGAGGGGCAGGACTTGCGATGGGGGACAGGCAATGCACTGTATTTAGGGCTGTGGGCTGACAGGTGTTAAAATGAATTTCTCTAGTTCTTTTCTGTTCTTATCTAGATAAATTCTTTTTTTCCTCATGAGTTTATTGGTACATTTTAAGTGTACAGTACAGTTGCATTCATTATTGGGATCTTGTACCTTTACATGACAGGTCTTGGTTCTCATTTTTTCCCCTTGTCCCTTTACCCTCTCCTCCCTTCCCTATTTACAAATACTTTATTTCCACTTTTTCATTTTCTTATTTTTTCCTTTTCCCTTATTTCCTTTCCCCCACCCTTCCCACTTCCCCTACACCTTTAGCCCCTTTCTTCCTATTTCACATTGTCAATTATCTCATTAGGATCTTATGTACCATTATAGATTTTCACGCCACAGAAACTATTCAGTATTTACACATGTGTGACTTATTTATTTCACTTAGGAGCATATCCTCAATATGTATCCATTTTCCTATGAATGACTCTAATTTCTCATTCTATGGCTGAGTAGTATTCCTAGATAAGCTTTTTTAGCAACCAGGCCATGAATCATCAGTAATGACAGTGTGTCATGAAGCAATAGGATTCTGGCCACTTGGGGACCACTGGGAAAAGGAAAGAAGGGAGGGAGGGAGGGAGGAAGGGAGGAAACTGAACAGGTAGCTTTGCAACAGTGGGCAAGTCCCTTATCACCCAAATCAGTAAAGATGGACAACGGTGAACTGCACCAAGGCCTTGGATGAGGAGGTGCACAGATTTTCACCAACCTACATTCTGCCTGCCAAGCCACAGGTCCTGGCATGGACGCCGCCTCCTGGCTCAGCTTTGTGTCCCCACAGCTGCCTTTGTTCTCATAAAATGTTTGCACCCATGGTGCTTTAGATGGCTTCTCACAATGGGCATGAGGTGATCTCCAATGTCTCTGAACCCAGGGGCATTTTGGGGAGCTTTACATAGGAACAGACTGAACTCAACCTAGCAGGCTGGATTTCCCGCCCCCATGCTATGTTGGTGACCCTTGTCTTGAGTCCTGTCCCTCTATGCTTCTTTTCCCTACCTCAAACAACACTGACCCTGCCCACCTGCAGTGGTGGGCTTGAGAACTGGAATCTAAGTTCACTATGGGCAGGGCTCCTCACACATTTTGTTCCCTGCCGTGTCCCCAGCATCATCTGCTGGCTGCAGAGGGTCTCAGACTCTGGGCTGTGCTGCTATTTGCTGCATATTCCTTGCTCTTAAACAAACTATCTGGAATGGGTCACAATCTCCAGAAGAAATCTTTAAGAGTCCACGAATTCTTGAAATACAGACAATAGGAAGCTTCTGTTGCTGGCCACCAGAGTGGCTGGGAGTTTGTGTGGCGCCGAGCTTTGGAATTTCTAGACAGGAGAAACAGCCCAACAAACCTGGCTCTCTGAGAAGTGAGCTGCCATAGTAACAACCCTCTGGATGTCATCTATCCACTCCTCATCTTTCCTGATCCCTCACTATGGAGCGTGGGAAGATGGAGGTGCAGAGGAAAGAGTCTGACCATCTGGTTGGCTTCCCAGAATGAAGCCCAATGTGCCCATTGGGAACCCATAAGACCCAAAAACCTTTCAAAATGTCTCCAGTTACCGTCACACACCACATGATGACATTTTAGTTGATAACAGAATGGTTAACCACAAGTTTATGGCACCCGGTGACACTGTGAAGTCTCTACAGTTTACCTTCCCAAACGTTGCCGCATTGACTTGGTTCTGAGCATTCTGCCCACAGGTCTCCACATACATCTCATACACGAGACAGCGAGGCAAGCTGTACCCTTCACAAATGCAGAAATTGTCCACCAACCTGGGGGAGAGGACAAAGAAGAGGAAATTGGCATCTTTCTGGAGTAGAACATTTTGATAGAACTAATGACCAGATGTGAGTGGGACCCAAGCAAGTGAAATATGTCTACGCTACTGAGTGGACGCCTAAAAATCTCACCATCAGTATCAATAACGAGCCCTCATGTCCTTGAGCCAGTGTGAAGAATAGTGATTATGGACTTTTAGCTGTTGACCATTAGGTTTTTGGATGGAAAAATAATCAGAACAAAGTCACACGTTCTGAACCTGTACAGACCTTTTGTCTTGTCACCATTCACTAAACAACACAGTGCAACAACTGTTTACATAGAACCTATACTGTGTGAGGCACTGTGTCACCTGAACACAATAAAAAGCCTGTGGGAGGGTGTACTTAGGTTTTATGCAAATAACACATCATTTTAGGCTAGGAACTTGGCCATCTGTGGACTTCCATATCCTTGAGGGTTCCGGAGTATTCCCTATGACACCAAGGGATTCCTGTAGGAAAGCAAGTCTGCACAGTTTTTAAATACAGAGGACTCATTGAAGCAGGAAATTTACAGACACGGATGACACATGGCTCCCTTCCTGGGTCGAGCCCCAAGTGTGCTTTCCTAAAGAGCTGGGGGTACCATCACACTTGTGCTGTGTAGGCTCCGGAAGCCACAAGTGACAGCTGGAGTCCTGGGCGTTCTTGGTTTGCAAGTGTGTCACGCTGATCTCTCTGCTTCCTCCTGTGACTGTCTCTGTGGCTGTCTCTCTGTGGAATTCCTTATAGAGGCACCAGTGGTTGGGTTTGGGGTCCAGCCTCACCCATTGTGACCCAAACTCGTTATGTCTGCAAAGACCTTGTTTCGAAATTAGGCCACGCTTTGATGTTCCGGGTGGACATGAATTTTGGTGGTGCTGTCATCTAACCCTGTGCAGATCTGAAGGAGTGGCTTTTCTGAGAGAGTCCAGTGTCACCACAGCGGTACCTCGACCTTTCGGATGGCTCACAGAGGTTTGAATGCAGCAGCTGCTGCAGTATTATTTGGCCCAGAGGTTGAACACAGAGTGATGTCTGTGTGTGGGGAAGGGCAGCGGCAGATCCATACATGTAGTTGACGAGAATATTTTTCTTTTCTTTTCTTTCTCTTTACTCCTAAGGAACAGGGTCTCACTAGGTTATCCACGCTGGCCTCAAACTCCTAGCTCAAGCAGTCTTCCTGCCTCAGCCTCCCGAGTGGTTGGGACTACAGGGCCATGTCACGGAGCCTGGTCCTAAGACACCGCCTGCTGATATACAAAGAACCCCGCTTCACAGAAAAATGTCGGTGAACTGAGGAGAACTGTGGCAAAAGGTGACATGCATCAGATTCAAACTCCTTTCTGCTTACCTGGAGCTATTATAGGTGAGCCAGGCAGCAGACTCCCGAAAGCAAAGCACGGAACATTAACTCCTTAAAATGAATTCTCACGTACACTTCTGCTCATTGCTCTTCCTCGTCATGGACACCCACTTACTCGAGGCCCCTACAAATTGTCCTCCTCTTTCAAAATGACACGTGACAGAATCTCACCACTTGCCGGGGTCACAGATGGTACCACAACTTGAGCACCTCAAACCTGAAAACCCCAAATCCCCAATTCCCCCAAATCCAAAGCTTTCTGAGTGCTGAAGCGATGCCAAAAGAGGAAAATGCCAACTATAAAACCTTGTTTCGTGCACAAAACCACACAAACACTGTACAAAACTACCTCAGAGCATACGTACGAGGGTACGTGGAACACAGATGAATTTGTGTTTAGACTTGGGGTTCACCCACATCGTGTTAAATCGGGGCAAAAATTCCAATATTTGAAAAAATCCAAAATGCAAACACTCCCAGTCCCGGGCACTTTGAGTAAGTGAGACTCAGCTGTTCTGAGAGTGACAGTGGGGCTGAGGACGTAGCTCCCAGAGCACTGCCTACCCACATGCTGGCCTGGTTTGATCTCCAGTACCACAAAATAACAACAAGGATGACGATTATAAAAAGGCCGTGACCGGCATCCTTTGTAGGCACCCACGTAAAGAAAGGGCTGCCCTGGGTTTGAGCCCTGTGCTGGGTTTGAGCCCTGTCTTTGGTCCTGGCTGCTCTAAGACAGTCACCCTATTTGTGACTGTGTACCTTGGGTCACTGCCCCAAAGGTCCCCAAACTCCAAAGCCTGGCTGTGGGCAGCAGTAACACACATCTCCGAGACACACAAGGGCCAAAAGCTTGACTTTAGCCCCAAGTTGGTCCCCACCCCTAGGAGAAATCACAGTGAGGACTGTGACCCAGCCATTTGCAAATGCTGAGGAGCAGGTTTAAAAATGAGCCACGACATGTGTGGCACACTGGCCAGCATGCAGACACTGACTGCCATTATTTTTATGTCTCCCACCAGGTACAGAATGGAGTCAGAAGGAGGTGGACATTGGCAGCACGAAGTAGGTGATCCTGACCTCCACTTCACAGGGCTCCAAGAGAGGCTGAGTCAGGAGGATGCAGGCAGAACTACTGCAGGGGGTCATCTGTGCTACACAGTGCTACACAGTGCCACCACCACGCAGGGTAACACAAGATCTTTAAGTCTGCCCAAGTTTTAGGTGGATCAGATCGCTAACATCTTTATTTAGCTATCTCATCTCATTATTTCTCAGGTCTCCCAGAGAGACTCAGTGGATCCTGGGACTCTGGGAAGGCCAAGATATTGGATGATGAGCACCAATTTCAGAGCCCACAGACCCAGTAGGCCAGTGGTTTCCCATCTTCTGAGTTCCCCTTTCCCCATAAAGACAAATAGGGGAGCCTCTCTATGGTAGGAACTGGAGTACCTTTTTCTTCAGCCTGAAATCTGAACTTTGCAAAATAAGTTTGCGCTCCATTAATTTTAGCAGACTGTCGAAATGTAAAAAGGTCCCCTTTACAAGCAGGACATGGTTCTTTCCTCTCCAGCCGGGGCTCAGCATGCCCAGGGCTGGGGGAATCTTCGGATTCTGCCTGAGGCCACACGCCAAGGTCCTCCCACTGCCCCGTCACACCTGCTGGTCTGCATCCGCTTTTCCACTTCTCTGAACTGCCCCAGACCTGACCTCACCCGCCAGACCCTTCCCTTCGTCCCTCCCTTCCCGGGAGACTGAAGCTTCACTACTTCACTACTTCCATTCCAGGCTGAGCAGTTCCTCTACCTTTGGGGGGGGAGCATATCCCGTGTGGGTGACAATGGCTCTATTACCACTGAGAGAGTGTGGACCTAACAGCTGGATGACAGAACGATGGGATGGGATGATGCTCAAGGCCTCCGTGGCCCCCATGGGGAGGCCTGACTCTCCTGAGGTCACCAAGGCCCTAGGGGCTCTGCACCCAAGCCCCTGTGGCCCCTCTGGTGGCCTGGTCCGCCCAGGTTTTGCAATACCCCGGACACCAAGATCTGCACAGTGTCACAGCCTCAGGCTGGGTTTCGGTGCCAGCGTCCCACCGCCCTGTGCCCTGTGCCAACCACGTGCCCAGGCACCCTTGAGACAAACCTGAACCCCTTCCACTTCCAGCACCTTCTGGAGACCCCGAAGAACTGAGCTTGTGGCTCAGAGGCTGAAGGGTCTGGTACGGGGACAGAGGTCTTGTGTTTGAGGGGCTGACTGCTAAAGTGCTCCTCACCCTCCTGATGGCCTCAGTTTACCCATGAGGGAACACCTTGTCGGCTCATAAACACCTAAGGCGGATGTTCAGCTATGTTTCAATCTCCTGTCATTCTTTCAAATCTCTGGAGTATAATTCAAACCTCACAAACTCTTCTTTAGGACAAGATGGCCTGGCAGCTTGACGAAAGGCAACTTCCAAGTCCTCTCTGCTAAGAAAGCCCAAGTGGGACAGATCTGGTAGCTCCCTGTGTCATTCCAAAAATGGGTGCTTCGCGGTTTCTTCCTTGGAATCTTATTTTTTATTTATTTATTTATTTTATTTTTTAAAACAGGGTTTCGCTATGTAGTTGAGACTGACCTGGAACTCACTACGTAGCCCAGGTTGATCTCCAACTCATAGAGATCCTTCTGCCTCAGCCTCCCAAGTGCTGGGATTGCAGGCATGCCCCACCACGCTTGGCTTTTTGGAAACTTATTTTTTGTTTCTTCTCATACAAACAAAGATACACCAAAAAAATGTCCTTTAGAGGAAAGTAGTGACCATTTAGACCTTTTGAGGTTATAAAAAACCACACCCTTTGTTTCTCTATTTCACTCTCAGAATTTTTTCAGAAAGTCTTCCTGAGAAATATTCTGTGAGACTTCTGAGAACAATGCAGTTGAATCACCTGACAGCCATGCTCCTAGGCTGGTCTCAGTTACTTTCCCCTTAGGAAGAACTGCAAACCCAGGAGTTCCTTTCTCCCAAGGGCCAAGGATGTTTTTCATCCCAGATTTTTTTTCTGCCTCTTTAAGCAGGCAGAGGTGAATGTCACAACTGGAACACATTGTAAAAGCTAAAAATCGCTGTGCTTTATGTTAGAAAACATCTCATTTTGGATCTCACACTAAGCAAAAACATTTCCTGCTGGGGCCCACACCCACAAACTCTGAGTCCTGGGAAAGCCCAGACAGAAAACCTGGTCCCCTTGCTGGCTCCGACCCAGAGACTTTTACAGGAAGGGGGGAGGGGGGAAGGGAGGGAGGGAGGGAGAGAGAG